TTTTTTTGGAACGAGCTGTGAAAGAAGATATTGTATCTGACAAGGAATTGCAATTTAAATCGTACAGTTCTATTCTTTAGTTTTTTGAAAAGTGAAACTAGTACGTTGTAGCCTGAAATTTAAGGAAAGAATGTATTGGAGTTGTCTGGCCACCGTTGGAGCGGGATTTCAAATTTTCCCAAGTCATTCCTTTTGTAAAGTTTATCGACTGCTAAAATCAGTGACAGAAATAGTAACACTGATCGTGGTTGCTGGTATAGACTTTACTAATGATAAAAAGTTTTTCTACTTATGAAGTTCATCAAAATAATCAGAAATTGTAGCAGTTTAATGCAAAGCATTTGCTAAGACGGAGGAAGAAATGTATTGCAGTTTGTTATGCCATGAATTACAAAAATATTGCATTTTAAAATTTTCATAAGCTTCTGTGCTATTCTGCGAGCAACTGCTCAAGTCGACTGACTGCATCTAAAGGGCATCAACAGTGGTACAGTTCCGGTGATCAACGGATGCCTCCAAAATATGTACCAATTACGAAAAGTACATATCTAAAGTTGGAGTATTTTGTTGTTTATTTAATCAAGTCTGCGAAAACTGAAGGACTGGAGCATTAAAACACACTTGAAAACAGCTTCCTCTATGAGGTGTCGTGTACTTTGACATTAAATCACACAGATCTGCAAAATATGCTAATTAAGATAAAGAAATGATGACTTTTGGTACCAGGAAAGTATAAAATTATTGTTCGGCGGGTTAGCTGATTTTACGCTTCAAATTACAGTGAATTCCCATACCAGTTGACAGAAACCTGAAAAATTAAGATTTAAAGATATTTTTCTTTAGGCTGTCTTATATATATTTGTGATTAACAAATGGTTCTATTAGTTGTCAGGCAATTTTTTCGGAAGATATTTTGCTTACTTTTTTATACATTAACTGTTTGGGAGATGATAATTTCGGGGAAACAAAGTGAATCTGAGAATAAACGTTACTAAGCGTTACAGGCATGAAAATTAACATAATATACGTTATGAGACATGAATTTTTCAAATTTATAGTACAGCATTGTAGGGATTATACTGGGTTATTTGGTTTAGAGATTATATTTCCAAATCGTCTTAATGTTTAAATCATCGTCTCGACGTATAAGTCTTAAACTTTTCTGTAAAAGCATCGATGATTTACGACGGCTTTTGCTGATTTATTTATACAAGTCATAGTAAAAATTCCTGAAAACATCACCGTTTGAATCAAATAGATTTTATTGTTAGCTAATTGATTGCAGTTGGTCAATAAAGTCAAATATTTATGAATGTATGTATGACCCCGAAAGTCGAGATTCTGCATGGGACAACAGAATAACAAAGGTCATAAATGGATGCTGCAATATGGTGAAAAATACTCATTTTTCATGAATGTTACATCAATCAACGATTCAATACCTTATAAGCGCATACAGAAATTGGCACAGCTGCTGAATGGGGGGTAAAATATCACTGTTAAAACGTTCAACACTAAGAAATATTAACAAATCAGTTAAAAGCTTTTTCTTGTTTATCTCTCTTCGCTTAAAATCAAGACTAAGATGGACGGCAGAGGGACTGATATACTAAAAAACCAAAAATTTGAATTGAAACATGTAACCCTATCGTATAATTAAACGAAAAAGTATAATCCCGAAAATTCTACTACCAAAAAAACTTCTGCTCTACTGTTTTCCTCTCTTTTAATGTTTCAATAGGTAATTTGCAAGCAGTTAATCGTTTAGTAGAACTGTTACAGTGATTTGCCGTAATTTTTCTGGTTGTTTATAGAAGTTTTAGCTTGTAATGAAAACAGTATATGTATTAGGCGAATAAAACTAAGTAATTCAATTTTTGTTCTTTTTTTAAATTTAATTTAGTGACAACATTAAAGTGTGTTTAAATTAATGCTGTTTTTTGTCAAAATAAATAGCAGAGAAAAAATTTTTTTTTGTCAGTATTATAATTTTTTTTAAAACTTGCAAAAACCTATATGTTAGAACATTGATATACCGGTTCAGCATTAGAGGGTTTATTTATAGATTTGCTGTACTATATATAAGACAGAGCCAAATCAGTGATAGTTGCAAAAGAATATACGACAGAAATATTGTTGTTGAAATAATTTATTGACAATTTGTCTATTAATTTCTCTGTGCTTACAGTAGTTTTAGATAATTGTTAAGTTGGAAAAAAATTTGATAAATTTTTCTGAAGATAAAGGTTAAAACGTGTCAAAAATTATAGTTTATTGTTAACAGTGTCATTGTGCCAAATAAGATCAGTACACACTTTTACATTGTTCTGTAATCGTCATATAACAAACTATTTTAGGATAATCAGTATTATTTCTTTCATCTGCGTCTACTCATACAACTAACTGATAAATGGTGGCAAAAAAAAATTTTTCTGGTGTATTTTTGTACGGTATTAAACAGTTTAAGTAGAATATTAGCTGAAATTAGTTGGAAGCAACGATTAGTTCATGACAATAACGAATCATTTTTTTTTCTGAATACTGATGTTGACGCCATAAACCTAAAAAGTTTAGGTGTCAACTGGAAATCTTTGAATACTGTCAACTGTTGAGACCACTACTCTTAAATTGACATTTAAAAGGTTTCCCGTAGCAACAAACACATTGCGTACTAAAAAGATTACTAAAGGAATTAAGAGATCATCGGGTTTACCACATTCCTTTTACAGTAGATTTTTATTCAAATTCAAACTTGGCTAACTGAAACCCTTAATATATGTTAAGTTTGCTTTTATAATCAAGCAGATAATTAGGCTGAAGCAGAAAAATTTAAAAATTTATTGCTTACTTTTTTTAAACCGAATTAATAAAAAAAAGGAGGAATTTTTATTTGCGCTTACTGACAGTAATCACAGTTTATAAATTATATTGTTAATGAATTTATTGTAACTACTTAGAAAGCTCACTTAAACATTTTTCAGTAAATAAGTTTTTTTCTTTGTATGGCTGAAAACCTGATTAAAACTTGTCGTTGCCGTCTTTCGTCAGTGCTGTTGTCGGACATTCAAATATCGCTTGTACAGGTTGCAGAAGTAATTTGAATATTTTAAGAAGAAGCACTGTTATACAGTTTGAACTGTAGTTTGACTTAGTGATGACTGCCAGTGCCAACCTGATGAATTATTATTGCATAGAATTATGTCAACTCTTTCGGTACTCAAAATTGCTTTTTGCTACAACTACAAATCTTCAACTTGACCATCGATGATCAGAGAATGTTGCATTTATTGACTGCCCGCTGGTATGATAGAGCTATTTGGTCATTTTCAAGAGGAGGACTTGGCCGTTTCGATCAGCTTAAAGAGATAATGTTGGTAAGTTTACCTTTTCGTAACAGCACCAGCTTTTCGTTCTGTTTGTAGTTCATAGAAGATTTTAATAGTTAAACAATTTTAAACATTTTGTTAGATTTCTCAACATAACATTCCCACCCTAAAATTATGTTGACCAAATATAAAAGACAAAGTTTTAGTTCTAAGATGGTATTAAGTTTTTGTCAAAAGCTACCATTCTTTCGTTTTTCTTTCTGCTATTAGTTATTTGCTTCAAATTTAAATTTTTAATTGATTTAGGCTATTATAGCTCTTATTTAATTTTGTTCTGAAAAATTATTCTTACTTGAATCATCTCAAAATATTATGTGGAAAAAAATATTAATTTAGCAGTAAGCATTTTGGGTGTTGATAATACCAGTCGAATTAAATATGGTGATGCCCTTTTAAAATAAAATAGCTAAATACATGAAAACTGATGACAATTATCATTAAATTTCACTATCGTCTTTGACAGGGGTATTACTTGTAACCAAAGCTGCATCAATGTCTGCCAGTTTACTGTTGTTACCAGTTTTTATTATACGTTTCGTTATCTGTTTGCCAACACCAAATTGCATCGGAAGTTCCTGCATTAGCAGCAGCGTATCGTGCATAGATGGTTCATGCAACAACAATGCATCCGCAACACCTACTAATTTACCATCGTCCGTTTGTGCTGATGGAAACTGTGACGGAAATATTGTTTCGCTGCCGGCATCTTATCCATGTTTTGGACCTAACTGTAAAAAAGCATACTATAACAATTATCAATCGGTACAGCAGAGTTCACCATGCTCTGGAGTCAACTGTTTATCGTTATATCCAGCTCTCAGTCCTTGTATTGGATCCGACTGTGCCTTATCAGCATATGGTACTCAGTTGGTAAGTTTGAGCAACAAATCAACAGTGAGAGAGATTTGTTAGGCTTTGAAACATTGATAACAATAATATTTATAGAGGAGAGGAACCTCAAATGAAAGTGCTCAGATGCGTATAAGTTTACAAAATTTTATTAGGTTCGAAGAAATTGTAAATTATTTTGCAAATACCTTTTTATAGAATCCATGTGTCGGTCTTGGTTGTTTGCTGCTATCTGGTAGCCAAACATCAACACCATGTATTGGCAGTCATTGTGGTTATTCTTCAAGTCAGTCTACTATACAATTTATTCCATGTATAGATGGTAACTGTGCAACAGCACTGTGTAGCGATCCATCCTGCCTAACTCTTCTACAACCAATTTATATTGCTAGCACAAATCCTTATTACTACAACAATCATGCAACTCTTTATGGTCCTTGTTATGGCAGTAACTGTGCTACTCGTAGTCCATCTCCACCGTATCCACCAAGTTCTCTCGCAGATCCAGCAAGGAGTATTTCTAACTCATGTATTCCAGGTACACCTGGTTGTACTTCTACAGGTAATTGGGAATTTTGTTCTTCTCTTATTATTTACAATGGAAACTGTAGGGCGATCATGGTTATTAGCTTGAAAGTGGTCAGCTGAAAATAAATTTTGATCTTACTAGCTTACCAACTGTTGCAGGTTATACATCAAAAACACCGCTGTTTACCTATCTTCAAGGAACACTTTCAAATCAACAAAAATGAATATGCTACGTAAACAGTATAAATTTGCTGCTGTTTTGTTTTTTTTGTTCTTACTATTACTTTTGGCATAAATTTTTTCCAATGATGTATAATTTAGATTTGCAATTATTAGACGAAAAAATTGTTCAGTATTTTTCTCATAAAGGAAAAAAATTTTTTTTCATTCAACTTTAGTAACAAATTTCCTCTATTGATTTTATTCATTTTGATAAGCAGAAGAAAAACTGCTGAAAGATGAATAATTATTGGTAGATCAAAATGGTTGGTGATCTCAAGAGCTTACATTAATTGAGCAATTTTTCCTGATACAATATTTTGCTTGTGTTATTGTCGACAATATTTCTTGCTTCATCTTCTGCTTCACTTGTTTTCTGTTTTGTTGATGATAAATCGAAATATAACAGTTGTTTTTAGAATCTTACTGAATTCTACACTTTTTATGCAATACTTAAAATGACAAAAAATTACAACAAAATCAAGTTCTCGTTAGTCTTTTTAAATGTTGGAGAGAAAACTCTGTTAGCTAATTTGTTAAAATTGAATTTTAAAAATTCACGTTACATTTTACTGCAAAAACTTTGTTGTTGATAAATCTTAAAATTAAGAATGTTGGGAAAGAAGCAGAATATTGGTATTTTCTTAAAGCTTGGAAAGGAATAAATCTATTTGCTTTTCTTTTTAATTTTCTTACCTTATCTGTAAACATATATCGCAAAACTGGTAACAGTGATTGGTAACTTCAAAAGTCTTCTTAAAACCTGATGAGATTACAGGTAAATTTTTTCGAGAAGCTTTTCTGGACATATAACTATGAGAACAGAAAAAAAAAATAACGCTGGTAAATAGACAATTATTTGTAGGTATTACGACAAGTAATAGTGTTCTGATCCGGGAACAACTTCGGACCGGTAACAGATCGACGTTTCTGCTGTTGTTGTTCACAAATTTTTTACGAAAATCAAACTGATGATTTACCTTTATTTTGTTTAAAAGAAAAAAACAAAAAAAAATTAGGTCCTCCATAGTGCTAAGATTTGTTGTTCGTTGTTTCTGCGACAGTCTAAGAAGTTTGCTGTTTACACTAACAATGACCATTGCCCTAGACAAATCCTGTTTTTTTTATTATTCCTTGCTTTTCAACATCTCAAATATTCCTATCTCAAATATTAGGAAGACACTATAAAGGGAATGCTAAAAAACATCAGAAATAAAAACAAAAAAATTTTTTTTCTGCCCTCCTTTTCTCGTTTTTTTCTTTTTTTTTGATTGATGTAAGCCGCTATCGTACAGATATTATACAGTGTTTGAAAAGTCGGTACTGAAAAGTTACTTGTATTCTTGCTGTCAGTGAATTTCAGTGATACTGCGTTGAAATTCGTCAGAAACTTTTGTAAAATTTAATTTTCAGTTGTACGCAACAACTGATTTTGAATTTTTTTTTTCTGAACTGATTTTTTTGATTATATCTTACCATAAATTTTAACACTATCAATAAATCACTAATTAATACGTTCTATATTCATATAAAATTTTTATGGTTAGGTGTTTTTTTTAATAAATTAATAGTATTTATGGATTTCTGTTATAATAAAACTACAGTTTTATGTTGCAGAAGTGAAAAAATGTGCAAAATTTACCAGTTTTTGTTACTGTTAACGTGTTTGACGACAGTCGTAAAAACGCAATCGTTGATACCGCAGATAGTGTCACCATCACAAAATTTACCAACATCAAACAGTTTACTCGGTAATTCTGGAAATATTTTACCAACTGTTATTCTACCATACTGGATGGGAACTGCAGAAAATTGGTCGCCATACAACACTGGACTTCTCAACAGCGGATCTGCTCTCGGTATCAATGGCCTTAACGGTCTAAATAACGGTATTTGTCCGCCAGGATGTTTACGGTGTGCCGTATGTTTTCCAAGAAATTCCGGAGCTTGTGGATCACAGTGTATGGGCTGTAGCAATTGTGCAAATCAGTTTATGCCGAATAATCTGCCGAATATGTTTCCATCGATTAACAATTTGAACTTTGGTTTACTAGGTGGATCGCAAGGATTAGTTCCGGTAGTCCAAGGAACCGGTTCGTTTTCACCCATCAATCAAGCCTCAGTTCCATACTGTACCCCAAACTGTGGAGCATCGTGTAACAACTGTATTCCTACAGGTTATCAGTGTTATTAATCAATTAATTTTTTCTTGGCAGTATTTGATTTGACAGTTACAAGAACTTTATTTTTTGTTTTAGGTCTTGGAAAGTCACCCTTATTCAATGCACTTCCATGGAAAAAGCACTAAACAGTTCTCAGCGACATATTATCGTTACCTTTTTAGAAGCTGTAGCGATCATTTTAATTCACTAGACATTTACGTATTCAGTATTAGTTCTTTTGTATCTGAAGAAAGAACGATCTCGACGTCGTAAAAATGTTTTATTTTTGTCCGACAAAAATTAAAGTCGTCAGTGAACTGATTATCTGTAGAAAGTTAAACAGCGATTCCTTTATTATAACTTTTATCCATCTATCAAAATTCTAAATAACCAAAAATAAATTTTTTTGAAGTGCTACTTAATTGCTTTAACATCAAGACGAAGTTGACGAAAATTTGTAGACAAAAAAAAATCTGAACCAAGTAAACAAAGTAAAAAAAATTCAGAAATTAAAAACAACCAAATTTTATACGGAAATAATTTTTAGATGCAAAACAGTTATATCAAAAAACCTTACAATGAAAGCAGTAAAAGTTCTGAAAGCTAATTCAGTTTCACTAAACAGCCGAAAGAACTAGCGGTGAACGGTTTCCGATGAAAATAAGTGTCGAAGACATTTTTCACTCAAAAGCCATATTTCACAATCAAAATAAGAGCTAATATAAATGAAGAAAAGCCTGAAAATATTTCTTAATCATAGATCCTTTATACCAGATTGGTTTTATCACTGCACCTATCTGTGAAAGTTTTACGTGAAGCCAATTTTATTCTGTAGCAACAGATGCTAAAATTGACCGTTTCGTTAACTCATACTAAATGTTGGGTTGAGAAGCTAGCTGTTTATCACCGCAGAACCCAGACTAAAAATGATTCGGTGTTTTTGCAGCACATATTTTAGATGCTGGCGAATTCAACATCGACAGCGAATTCCAGGCAAAGTTGAGAAGTAAAAAATAGATGAAAAAATGATAAAAAAGTAAAGAAGATAAAGATTATTAAGAAAATTTTCGAATAAATTAAAAATTTTTTATTTTAAGCAGGTATGATAAGTTCATAAAAGAATTTTGAGTATTCGAAAGTTGACAGAAAATAGAATAAAAAATCAAAAGTGTAAAACTTAAAAAAAAATGGAATATTCAAAAGTCTATTTTAAGTACTTGATTAAAGATCTAGAAAAAATTGCGAAAAATGAGCAAATTTAATAATTAGCAATAAGTTTTCAATGTTGCGTTGACCATACAAATAGCAAGTTGACCTTTTTCAAAGTATATTAAAATTGAAGAAATACTCTTTTGCTAAAAAAAAAAAAACACGTGGAGTTTTTTGTTTCATAAACCTTATAAGTTTGATTCGCCACAAAAAACGAATCAGAATTTGACAACACAGAATTTGAATACTAATTTTTGAAAATGATTTACAACGGAAAATGCAGTGAAAAGGCTGAGTTACGGTCTTTAAAAAGGTTTTAGAAGTTGATACAGAGGAGAAGTTACGTATAGAAAAGCAGTAGCCTTTAAAAAAACAAAAGAATTTCTTTTGTAGAACCTTGGGTGAAGTATGCTGACTCCTTTTCCTGAACTGTTTATGTAAAACAGTGTCATACGAGTTGAGCGAAATTGATGAACAGTAGAGGAATACTCTGCTGAGATAAAGAAACGTTGTTGTTCCAGAATCTTCTGTTGCTTCAAGCGTCGATATCATGTCTTGTCATTTTATAAGGCCGATTTTAAGAAAGACGGAAGTTTCAGAAGTTTAATGCAGAGAATGTTACGTAAAGAAAAGCAACATTTTATTATAATGACAACAATTTACAAAGGCATACTAATGAGTACAAAGCAGCTTGATACTTACAACAACTTCTGTAATCACTTAGATATCAAGTGTTATTGGTTCCAAAAACATCATCTACGATATTATGTAGGAAACGAGTCTCAAGTTCTTCAGTTTTTCTCCTATCCACTGCTAATCTTTATTAGCAGAAGTCTTCTGCAATTCGCTTAATCGTGCAGTTGCTGAAAAAAAAGCAGTCAAAAACTATACCAAAAATTTCAAAAAATTCAACTATACATGTGTACTAATAAATACCTTTTATACTTTTAAATCATAATGATCTTGAATAGACAACTCTTTTATCTTCTTCTCTTTCTAGATTTTCCGTCAATCTTTCTGATAATATGCAAGAAGCAGAGTAAGCAGTGAGAAGCTCTGAAGCAAAAAATATACGCTTAAAACGTGATTATGGGTTACTTTGGAGTAAAATCTTTAGCTTTTACATACCATGACTTTTAGCTACCTGTCTATCGGCTAGGCTGGTCATGTAACAGCTCTAAAACCACTAATTTTTCAAACTGAAAAGATTTCAATATACATTTTCCCTTTGTTACAATGCGGTAAATGAATCATCATTGAAATGACTACTGTAACTCCACTTTTTCTAGTGGGAAAAACTGGTAAAATAAATAATGCTTAACAGAAAATATAGTGCTGTCACCTGAAAAAGTGTGGTTTTGTCACAGTTGATCAGAGGAATTTTCCTCAGTAAACAACAAAGAAGTGTACACCGAACTGGAATTTATCTAGTCCCGATGGGAGAGTAGTGGGACTGTGGTTTGCTGCAAGGTGTACTGACACACATCTCTTGATTCTCCACCGACAGTTATAAAACCATATCCAGATTGAATTCCAATATAGGCATACACGGGCAACATAAAATCAGTGTTTCTGAGCTTCAGTACGACTATTCGTCATTCGCTCATGAGGTCGGCGTGTAGTTTGGTATTGACTTTGCTTAGAGTTAAGCAAGATATCGGGGAAAACAAAAACACCCACTAAGTTTTTAAGTGTGAACTACATAAGTATACGCCCACCTGTTTGCTAATGAATAACACTAAATTGTTTAGGTACAGTCTTGTTGTTCGCAGTAAAACTAATTTAAGCAGTCCGGCGTTCTATGTGAGAAATAACCTGAAAAAAAATGGAAATATTTGTTGCCTAGAAAATTTATATCAAAGACCTAAGTGAAAAAATGTTATTTGTCATTTAAATTTTAGTTAGCAACTTCTACAGAACCCGAACAGTGTATAAGTTCACACCTTTAATAAGTTTTAAAAAAAATTTTAGTTACAGTTTCTCGTAATGGATTTTAGGCTATCTGAGAAACCTGAATTGTTTAGTGGATATAATATTTAAGCAAAGAAAGAGAAGTTTTTGCTCAGAAATTATATCAGTCCGCTGACACTTTTTTTTTGATTCTGTATTTCTGCCAATCCTTTTTTTTTTGCAATTATGAAAAATTTATAGTTAAGTAAGTTTTTAAATCTTTGGTAATATTTTTTTTAAAAAAGCTCAGAAGAGGAAGGAAAACTGATTCTTCGCTACCTGTATGCATTGTGGTATAAATTGTTCGCTTAAGCCTCTCCTCTACACCTGTCCCATTGGCTCTCCCCATTGGTCATCGTTACGTCAGTAAACAAAAAGTAGTGATTTTTGAGTAAATATGCTTCAAAAGCGAGGATGTACATGTACACTGTATAAAATTGTTTATTTTCTTCTGCTGCTTGAGAATACCGTGCAAAAAAGAAGAAAAGTAAAAATAAACTCGCACCTATCTTATAGAGCAGAAAAAAGTTGTAAACTTGCAATATTAAAAACAAAACAGCACACAAAAGTTTACTCATAACCCACTGAACCACTTGCAATGCCGTTCTTTTTTCACCACCACCTTTCATCCACTAATCTAAGCTTTTTCCCACTAAAAAACGGCAACTGTTAATAGCTATGATATCCAAAACAATTTTAAATTCTTTCCACTTCTTATTCTCACCGCCGTCAAATTAATGCTTTTGTCCCTTTTCAAAAATTCTTTTACTATTTTATTCCTTTACCTTAAGCTACTTATAAGTTATACTCCAGTAATAAGGTTGTCCTCATATTCCTTTCCACTCTTTTTTCACTGCATAAGGGCTTTTATTTTTCCACAAGTGGTCCGGTGGAAGGAGGGAGATGTCTACTTCCTCTCCTCAAAATGAATCTCGTAGGAAGGTTCAGAAGGTTACTTTAGCTTAGAATGCAACGTAGAATCACTGAACCACATCGTCGACGGAACTGAGTTCTGAAGTTTTATAGCCACGCGGCCAATAATGAAATTTGGAAAAGATTCCTTACTATCGTCGTAAAGGATATCTGACAAACTCGGAATAGCTGAGTTCGTAAGCTCGTTTATTTTTTCATATACTTAACAGAATTCATCTCTTCTACGGGCGATCTGTGTATTCTCTACCATTCGTTCCAAATTTTTACTTTTTAGCGTGTACCTCTCCAGTCTGTTACTTTTATGAAAGGTGATTTTTGATGTTGCTGTGGTGCTGTAAATAATTTTATAACTGTTGATTAAAAGCTTTCAGTTAAAAGATATTTAAAAATTCATAAACGCCTCTAAAACCTTCACTGTTGCAAAGATTTGAGTCAAAAACCACGCGCAAGGAAAATGGCTAAAAGCTTGAAAGATTTTTGTAATAAGAGTACCATAAAGTTGCTATTACGGTTTTTTACATTGTGCCAACTTAACTGTGCTACATGTATGACAATGACTGTTGCAGCGATCATTTGTGCAAATCTCGTCCATCAGAAAATTAATTATTTTGACTCAAGTTTATATCGTCATCATAATTTATAGCAAATGTTGGATGGTGAAAAAAAAGATGAACATAGAATTATCGAAAGAAGCAGGCAGCCGAAACAGAAAATTAAAAGAATTTAGAAGGCAAAAATAGTAAAAAGTCAAAAACACATAAAACTTTTTGGCTTATTTTTAGATTCAAGGTGAAATTTGAAAACAACAATAATAGCAAATATATTTTTCGGATATTCATGAAAAATATTGTTTGTCTTTTCCTGTCTTCATTCCATTCACTTTCTTCAAGCATTCTTCTTTCTTCCTCTCGCTTTGCTGTAAGAACCCTACTGATTCAAAATTCATTCTATACGTCGGTTGAGAACTTTTTTATAGAAAATATTGCTAATGGCAACACTTGTAAAATATGCTATCTTTATATAATACAACTAACCTATTATGTTACCCTGAAAACTTTCTTTGAGGGTCACTCAGAACCATGCAAAGTCAGAGAGGGTATTAATGTCTCAGTGGCTGCATTAAAGATCCAAAACAAAAACACACAACTTGCATGCGGCCAGAATGCCATAAAAAACATTTGAAAAGCTGGAAGAATCTAAAGAAGTATTAGCCAACACCTCAGCTTTCGGATGTACCATTTTTACGATTATTCGCCCAAACAGTGCTCAGCGGAGTATACCAATTAGGAAAAGCACTAATTACTAGGCATCGTAATTAAATAAACTGCTTATGGACTAAAATTAGACTGAAAAACGGGTCGACAAAATCAGGAACACTGAACCTAATTAGATTTTAAAAAGTTTAAAAGTTTGATGCTATTGGAAACGCCAATTGGAAACTGCCAAAAGATTTTCAAATTACAAATATAAATTACTCAATGAAGCGTTTTTGAACATATCAAGGTACCATCTCAAGCAAATTCTTGAAAGCAATCTTGAGAATTTTTCGCACAATTTAAATCTTAATTAGCGCAGAACGTATGAGAGGTTAGTAAAAGAGGTCACGGCAGGCGTACCGTTATTCCAGCTGAAAATTAATTTTGTGGCAGGCGGAAAGCATCCTTGAACTAAAAAACTGTAAACGTTTCAGCATTCCTCATTCTGCACCTATATACTACAGTCAGTTATTTGATGCTTATTTTTGTTCTTTACTTTCTGTTTTCAGTTCCATTCCTGTGTTCATCTAGGTTCACAGCAAATTTTGTCCTTTCTCTTTTCACATACCTGTTAAGTTCTTTCAAATGTGCATTCTTCTGTCTAGATTTTGATCATCACGCTTTCTCATACCATCAAAATGTTTAAAAATAGAAAGCCACAAATCGTGAGAAGCGCAAATACATCGGCAACGGTGCTAAAAGATTACGAGTTCTTTATTGTAACTAAAGTTTTCAAACAGGACGACTGTACTATAGAACTTTGAAAACTCTGCAACGCGATGTGTGTAATCATAATCCGAAGTTACACTGTCCTGTACTAACTGTTAGATGTATTTTCATACACAAAAAAACTATTTTTAAAGCATTATTAATCTCAACTCTGTTCATCGGCTATAGATTTATTTTCACTTTATCTGCATACTCTTTTTCTTTTTGAATATTATCGTAAAAGATCAACAAACGGCTTTGAAAAACACGCAGTAAACAGTTTTCAAGCGTTAGTAAAACATAGTTTTAGATGAAGTAAAAGCAAAATTTCTGTAGTATAGAAGGAGTGTTTCCATCCATGGACTACGGTCATTAGTTGAGTTCTAGATGCTTCGGTATGCTTGTAGCATAGGGCCTCTTACACACCGGTATGTAGCACTAGCAGATATACGCACTAAATTGAAATAACTTTGCTTCTCCAATCACCTTTCACTATCTGTAATTCTTTCAGTTTTCTCTTAAAATTCTAAAAATTTCTTAATTACCATCTTATTTTTCATAATGTTTGGTTTTACTACTGGCGAGATATGCAAATTTCTACGACAATTTGATAAATTCCTCAGCGCAATAATTTTGCAAGTAGTATTTTCTTTAAAAACTCTTATTTTGTTTTACATTTTTTCATTGTTCGGCGAAAGGTCCAAGAAGTTTTAATAAGCAGTTTAGACAAATTTCCTGTTTTTTGACTAACGTTATACTTAGAAATTCGTGAATTAAATTTTTGCTAGTTAACGTAAGTTACTTGTTTGCAATCTATAAGTGTTTTGCAAGAGTTTGCAGCAAAAATCAAAATTCTTTCTGGAAATCTTTGCATGCATCCATCCTTTGGCTGACCACCAGAATTTTAATCACATCCGTCAGTTCAACTGATAATAATGCTGCTAACAAGTTGAGAACATTGTCTGAATCAGTTTAACCAGCCGACCACCAACATTCTATAATTGCGTTGTATTGGCTCGCCGTTGAGATTTACGCAGCTGGTCAACTGTTCTGAAAAAAAAAGCTCATGAATTCACTTTCACAGGTAGTTATCGCTCCGCGTGTAGTTTTTTTTTTACCAACGGGAGATGGCCAAAAATTTATAGTTTCTTTTCAACAGCGCACCAAAAGAGGAAGTTTTCACTGTCCTCTGCTGGAAAATGCCTGTAAGTTTCTGTTAGCAACGTCAATAAAAATGTTTGGTAATTCAACAAGTAGCAACATCATTTACGTGCACTACTGCAACAGAGCCACGGATCGCTTAAACGACAATGTTGCAGTAAGTACTGGAATGTACGGCGTTTAAGAGTGTGGCAACAATGAGCAAAGTCTTTTAGCGCAAAGTTGAATCACAGCGTTTTTCGATCATTGAAGTGCTGCAACTGGCGATCGAAATAAGGGAGCAAATAGTTGCACAGAGCTGCTGAGTGAAAATTGATTTTTTACAGTGATCTTTAATGTCGACCGATAGTGCTCATCAAAGAACTTGGTGCATTAAATCAAACTTCATAACGGATCAATGACCACCTGCGATAGACATCAGCAATCTTTAGTCTCTTAATGGTGGTCAACGGTCAACTCCTTATGATCTTTGGTGTTTGAAATAAGTGTTTGCCAATGAGCAAGGATCAATGCTTCAAAGTGTTATGCAAATTCTGTTTCTTTTTTTTTTTTTGTTTTTTCTTTTTTTTTTTCATTAAAGATAAAGAAAAAAATTTTTTTTTTGAATGGACTGGTGAACAGAGTTTGGCAAGAAAAATGACTAGTTAACAGATTTCCGAAACGAAAAGATAAACTGATTCTCGTACGTAGCCTAACCGATTTTCATCCAACCAAACATAACGCTTATTTATGTGCAGCACTAACAGCGCAATTAGAATTGTAAGCAATGTAAAGGCTAAATTGAAACTGCTTGAAGTTTCTGTTAAACTAACTGTGAAAACAGATATAAGAATGATTTGTGGAAGTCACTTTTTTCTTTGGTAAAATGGAACGACTAACACTTTTTTCTAACAAAAGAACGCAATTTTGATACCTTTTTAATGAGCATTTGAACAGTGTACAAGAAATTAAACTAATTTCAGATTGAGAAAACAATGCTGTGTGAGTGCCTGTCAGGAATTGCTTCAAAACTTAAATATAGTCCTTTCTGCATTACCGACTGGTTGGAACGCCGAACAAGAAACAAAATCGTGATCTTGTATTATTAATCCTTTTATCGTGTCACAGATGAAAAAGGCAGCGTTTTTTGAGACGAACCAAGAAAAGCACAATTGCAATTTAATTTTCGTATCAAATTTTTCGTCTTCTTTTGAAGGAAAACTTGTATCGGTGCTCACATGTAAATAGTGCCAAGTTTTCCTCCTCTGACTGTTAGGTCATGCCAAAAAACCCGGCTCACTCATTCATGCCAACAACAGCTTATACTGCAACGAGTTCTGCAGCTAAACAATGGATCAGCGAAAACCCGTCGAGCAATTCAAAATGGCTGATTATTTAGTGCTGAAGTACAGCAAACAAATGCAACATTTTTGGGAACAGAATTTATGAAATAAATAGAATAAATTATTTAACAGGTCTACTTAACAAAAAAATGTTACAATCATCTCATTATAGGCTTTATTTAAAAAATGATTACATACATTCTTACGATAACCGGGTTATACCAGTATGTAACCGTCGAATTATTATAATCAGGTAATTATTTCAATCCGATTTTTCTCACGGTATTCGTTTTAGGCGCGTCTGAAATTTATATTTTGACTTTTTCTAATTGGTTGACTGTTTTTTATTAGCAACGAATTCAACCATTCGCTTTTTTCTTATCAATATTCAAAAACACAAAGTCTGAGTCGTATTTTTAATAACTACTTACTTTCTGGTGCATGAGCTGTTTGGACAATAGATGTCGATTAGACAATCGAAACCGGCACAACTATTTTTCGGAACAGTTATTTTAACAACCTGATTTGGACAGGCACTTCCAGTGCAAGCTTGTGTCACCGACCCCGTCAATCCTACTGGTGGTGATGCCGGTGCCGACACTGGTCCGGACGGCACTGGAATTGGATTCTGCACCGGTATAGGCCCATAAGCGTTAGTTCTTAAAGGTGTTAAGGGTAACGGGCAATTTGAACCTATACAGAGCGGAGGACATCCTGCGCCAAAGCACGGATCAAACTGATTTTGCATGTAGCAGTTTGGCCCAGAACAAGGTAGTAAATTCATACAGTCTGCTCCAAAACAGGGCGAATTTATCATTTGGCAGTTGGGACCCATGCATGGACTACCGAAAAATCCACCACCAAAGCCACCGCCAATGCCACCGAAACCGCCGCCAAAATCAAATGAGCTTGGTAAGCAGTTTGTTCCCACACAGCCTACAGCTAATGGTAAACAGTCCGGTGTATTACAAGGGAAATTACAGTTGTTTCCAAAACACGGCTGTGGTGACAAACAATTTGAACCGATGCATGGCACTGATGGAGAACAGTTTGGTCCAACACATGGTAAAATACCACCAATGTCTTGCGGCATCACTAACATCGGACAGTTTGATCCAAGACATGGTATACCACAGTCCTGACCGTTACACGGAAAAGCATTAAAATTATTTCCCGTGAAAAATGGTGCGGGCATACATCCGCCGCCAATGCAAGAAACCGGAAGTGCTTCTGACGTCATAGTGCTGCACAACAGAATAACAGATGTCAACCGAAAGATTGTACTCATCTTCTCCTGTAATATGAGATAGAATGGTCTTTGTTAAAAAAGAGCTGAACTGTATTTAAAAAAAGACTGAAATTTTTACCATGACATAGACAACCGAGGAAAAAATATTACTGAACATTACGCGGTAAACTTCAAGGTTTTAGTTATGGTAAAAACGTTTAGTTATAGAGGAAAATCCTGTTTGTTTTCAATTAATAGGTAGTCAAGAAAATGACCTGTAACAGTTGCTCTGGAATCATGATTTGAGAGTGAGACGTAGAATCTAAGTTACACAGCTCTGTCACAGATACTGTGTTTCGGTAACGAAACTTTTTGTCAAATGTGAAAGCGGAGCAAACTGAATGCTGCTTAAATCTGTGTGAAAACGGTCTTCAGACTCGGACTGAAGCTTAAAGGACCGTTGACTAATAATACAGAAATCTCTGTTTTTTTACCTTTCTCAACAATGCCTAATTCGCACTTGTTTGCATTTTGATGGTGACTATGGTAAATAAATATGACAGTATGAAGTGTAGATGAAGATTATAACATGAAATGGTAGGCTGTAATAGCAGGATTCGGACTCCTTTCAGTCATTTAAAGGTAATAAGGTCTATAACTGTGCTTGTAACAAAGACAGATTTCTTCTGTTAATTGAGGCTAATCTTTAAACAGAAACCATTAAATTTACATATATTAGTATTAAAAACAAAGGCATTTAATGCCCTATATGGCCAATTTTAAGTACTTTTAGGAAAGTACGATATCTAAAAAAAAATACGTTTGCTATATGAATTTTTTTCTTCAGCTGATCAAAGTACGCTTTAGATTTAAATAGCCTTTAAAATCCGTCTTTTAGATGAGTGACATTTAGTGGTTGTAAACTTCTTCAGAAATTATGCAAGAAACTCTCACAGATTCTTTATGTAGCGCAAAGGTGTATCAGGTAATCGTTTATTTTGCCGAATAAAGTAGTCTTTTTGAAAATTAGACTAAGAATCAGTTTTGAAAGGATTACGAGTGATAATGATGCAGGAATGGATAACAAATCTTTTTGCAAATGTAAATTTTACTCAAATATTTGCAGCACGTCTTTGGTTTTTCTGTTTCGCACCAGCATTTTTCGGTATTTGAACAAATGAAAGATCAGCGTAACTTCTTGACATATTCCAAACATTACTGTTTTATGTGGTTAGGTAATCTGAATTTCAGATTATAATTGTTGCTAAAATAATTTTAAAAAGCTAAATTATTTTTTTTTTTTTTTGACAAGATCTCGTATCTTTTACAAGATTTCAACTTTACTAATCTTCACAATTTTGTTACTAATACCGGTGAAATAAAAGTTTTAAGCAATCAAAAAATCGAACTTTAATTGGTCACTCAAAGTCAGTTCAGTGATATATTATTTCAATATCGTTAACTTCTGTGTGATAACAATAAAACTTTCAAACAAATAAGAAAAAACACTTGTTTTTGCATCCTAAATATCTTCAGTTAAACTATTGCCAAATTTGCTGCTAAGCTGCGCTTTCCTCAGTCTCCACCTACTAACATCAGTGTACGTATCAGTGGGAATTCAATGATGTTTTCATATTTTAAGGGGAATAAAGAAGAAAAACCATCAGACTGATGGTTCTACGGTTATTGATTGAGTACAGTCAAATTCTCAAACTTTCCTGTCTTTTTTTTCGCTTTTAAAAACTTCTAATAACCAACTCAAAAGAATTCGATGATCAAATCGCAAATATACCTAAAAAGAACGAGGTTCATTATTGTAAGCTATTTTGCAAGTATCGACGTTTTTGCTGTTTTAATCTTAAGACCTCTCCTAGGTAGAAAAAAAATAGGATAAACTTTTTATTGCTTTTAATCAATACCAGGCAAATCACTGTAGAAACTGGAAAAATCTAACAAAAACAAACAATCTTACATTAAACTATAAGTGTTTTGATGTAATCTTACGAAGTTCAGATAAGGTAAATATGCAACTAAGTGAATCGGTAGGATTGACCAATGCATCTCTCAGCTAAAAAAATATACAGACTTTAAAGCCAGGCAACCTCCATTCCCATCGCCTTCAAGTACACTTAACCATCAACCGAATACATATTTTCGTATTATTTAATCCACTTACTTTCATTTTTTATTGCTTTTCAGTTAAGCCTCCTCAAATAAACGTACTATTCTTCAACTTTTTTTTTTTTTGCTTCAGTAACGATAGAGCTGAGTAAAGCAGTTTGATAGCACTTTTCTTTTTAAATATATCATATTTGAATGTTGAGGAGATAAATGTGAGCAACAAAAATAAACTAAACTGAATTGTGAAGAAATGACTTTGAATCTACCAATATACTAATACTAACCTCTCAGTCCTTCAATAAAAAAATCCTTCAGTATACAGGTTTTTATAGTGTAACAAGAAAGAGGGACGGTGAAATCAAGGCAAAGAAAAGGAAAAAACACTGAGTGAAATAGACGAACATCAAATTCCTTATCCTCAATTTTTTTAGAAGAAGTCACTTCTGCTTTTGTAGCTTTTGTAAAATATTCAATGTCCGTCAGCTTCTAGAAACGTCAACAGAAAGCCACTTTTTAAATTAAAAGCTTCTTTCAAAACTTTTTAAAGAAGATAAAATTGGAGCACCTCGACAGCATTAAACAGTGTAACCAACAGTTTCAGCGAAATTTTGTGAAGCTGATATCTAGTTCAAAAATCCATACAAGTTTAGTCGAGCAACGAAATCGAACCATAAAATAGACAGAAATGTGGCTCCAAACACAACATTGAAAGTTGCATTTCTAAATGTTCCTCAACTCGCTATTCCCTTCCTAAACAAAATTTTTCATTCGCCACCTGCTAGACTACCGTCACCCGTCATCATTTTTAGCAAACTACTCATTTTCGTGTCGTAACTGTAGCGTTAACTTTATTTGAAGACAGTGCATATAGCCTTTAAGTAGTTCGTTTCAGAACTTAAGTTTTCTTTCGGCTTCAAGTCGTTCCGTCACTCGGGTGCAAGTTTTTGAGTACTACATCTATATGTGTGAAAGTCACCCGTTCTTCCCGACCGCTTCCTATCGGCACCGGCACTTCCCATTTCCCAAATTAAGGAACAATAGTCTAATCTCACTCATATATCGCTAAACTTCCACCGGAATAAAAAAGTACTCACCGTGTTTCCGCAAAACTTGTTCATCAATAACCTGCAGTCGGTATTAGGAGCAAAAAGCCTATAGTATCCAGAAACTTAAGCCCGATGCACAAGCACAACAAGCACAATAAAAAAAAAAAACAGAAAGATGAAAAATGAAATTTTCCAATTAAATCTGCACGCGTCCGCCACCAAGATGCTGTCACAGTGACAGGGAAGCTTGTTCTCAACATGTTCAGAGTTTTCTATTTATTAAAAAAATCATTTAAGAATTAAAAGAACGGTGAAAAATAAAGAGCTAACATGTAACAGTGTTGATTCTCCATCCAACTGAATTCAGTAACGTGCAATTTAAATTTGATAAAAATGCAACAAAAAAACCGACAACGATCGCAATGAGCAAATATTCAAAGAATAAATTAAACATATAAGTAAAAAAAGAGCGCAAAAGATGTAAATCTCGCCTGTAAAATCTATAAATATTCTAAACAATAAAGAAAACGTTAGCAACATGTTGAACAGGTAACAAAAATCAAATTTAAAAAATCCCGTTTTTACCTCAGAAAAAAAAAAAAAACGTCCGATTTTTTGTAGGAAAGGCTATTTCTGAAATAATGCAGATCTGATCTATCCTAACATTTACCATTTACAAGGTCAAATACTAATACCCATTGACGTGACAGAGTTACCGCTTCAAGTGAAGCAGTATTAGTTAGGAGAAGATGTTCATTTATAATTCAACTCAATAAAACAAATAAAAGTACAACTTTAATCTCGCTTTTTTCCAAAAGGATCCTTCAAACTTCTCCTATATAAAATGTAGAATATAAGGTCTGGACAAAGCCAACGCAAAAAAATAGCTAAACGGTATGTCACTGGAGCTAACAGCAATTCTGTCTGGCGATTCACTAAAGCTTTATAAATCTTCATAGCAGCAACTGATGGTTCTATACCCTTGGCCTGATCTGGATCGCTCTTCTGAACCGGAACCCCATGTACATTAAGAGCACGGCGTCCGAAGTCCGTTTTCATGTAGGCAGCAAACACTTCGAGAATATGGAAACAAGGTCCTCTCTCACACCTTAGTGAATCAAAGAAGGCCTACAGAGAATAAAAAAAGATTTAGTTGCACTTGCTTAAACGTAAGTTAGTTAATAGATAAGCTTTTCGACAAAACTAGTTAAAAACAAAGTACGACGAGTATGACATTCAAACACCTGCCAAAGCTTAATTGAAAATACAATTTAAAGACCAGAAATTTAAAAATATATTAGCACAAAAATTCAGAATTTTTTCAAATAACTGAAAAAAGTCATAATTTTTCAAAATAACCACCAATTCACAAGAGGCTCGACTGCTCTGTAACATGTTACCTGCGTAGCATGCTTGCTTGCAGAATATGCGCTCCTGTAGGGAACTGCTAGTTTTCCCTGAACAGAATTTGTGACCACAATAGCACCATCTTCAGGTATACGATTCAATAGGGCTTTCGTCAAGCAAACAGTGCCAAAGAAGTTTGTTTCCATGACCTTCAAAGCGGGATCAAATTATACTTTGTAGTAGCGGCAACTGCCTTGGGTCTGCACAGAAGAAGAAACTTGGATGAAAACCACTTATATAAACTTCATCAGCTCTTGCCACTTAAAGATAATGAAAGGAATGTAGAAGTTAAACTTCCATATGACAATCTAAAATGAATTAAAAATTAATCCATAAAAAATGTTTCCATTTACTCTACCTTCCTTTGGACTTCCATGGTCGTCTCTTCACAACTCCCCCTCATACTTATACCGGCATTATTCACTAAAACATCGATCCTACCAGTAGGGGAAAGCGATACAATAGCTTCCACGGATTTCTCATTCACTTCGTTCATATCAAAATAACTGTAAACAGGCTCATTCGTATTTTGGATACCAGGCGTAGCTTTTAATTCCTCACAAAGCTTCTTTAACGCATCAGTGCTTCTAGCAACCAGTATAAGTTTAGCACCTTTGCGGTAAAACAGGATTGCAAGTTCTTTCCCAAGGCCCGAGCTAGCACCAGTAATTAGCACTACACGATCGCAAAGCGTAAACTTCGACAGACAATGCGGCCCGGGAACAAAACGATATAAGAGACGAGCAACAGCATATATTCCAATTGGAACCGTCGCGTAATAAATGTAAGGGTAAAAAGGAGTGAGGGCATCGAGTAATCGATTCCATGAACTTCGAATCGCCTCCATAACCTTAATCAGAAGTACTACAGCAAAAGAATATTAAAGCAGTTTTGAAAAGCGGCCGAAAACCGTCCTGTAGCTGTAAAGAACGCCGGATTACACTTTGGAATTCCACTAAAAAAATTTGTAAAAGAAGAAAATCAACCCCGAAACCTCCGTTCGCCTTTCCGTCGTGTAATACGCTTTTGTGACCCCACGTTGTAAAAGCTGCACTCTTCAGAATTATTTAGCTGTAACAAACGACTAATAAATTGTTTTATTCAAACCAAAATAGAAATAAGCACTGACGTTCATGTTTTATATACTGTAATCCATTTTAAAACTGTAACTAAAGCAAAAAAATTTCTATTTTGGATAGACGAGTGGAGACTGGGGCTAACGAAGGTCTGTAGTTGAGATGAGGCTGCTTTTTTTTTTGACAGGCGAAGTTTTTGCTCTTGATTTTGCTTTCTTGGTTGTCAGTAGTTTGTATTTGGTAAGCCACACAGCGAAAAGTCTTAGGCGTTGTGTGTGAACTCGTGTTTTTTTTTTCGGAGCTTTTAGCCCCGACTTTGTCTTGAAACAGTTTGAAGTTTTTAGTTCATTGTATTTCAATTGTTTTTTTTCCACTGAAGGCTTGCATGAAACTAGTATAGTCAGGAAGCTGTTTCTTATGTTTCTAGTTGGTGTGGGCATGATATTTTTAGTTAATAATAGGTGAGGGTTTAGGTCCTTTTATTTGGATTTTCAGGGTTTTTTGCCAAACGCTTTTGAAGAGGATGATTGTTGCTTGAAGAAGTGACAAAAAAAATTTTTTTTTATTTTGGAAGCTCCGCCGAGGATTTGTTACACATCCATCAGCTACACAAATCTCAGCGTAAACTTTTATTCTTTAGCGAGACAGAAGTAACGGTATAAGCAGTAAAATCACTCGCAATAGTCTTCAACGGGCGTTTTGAATGAAGATTAGATGTTTTTGGAGATTTGTTCCATAGTCGCTAAACATGCGACTATGTCTATTATGAAAGTTCCATGTTGTTTTCCCATCGTTTTTTCAAGCTCGTAATTTTAGATGGTCAATTTTTCTACACTTTTGACTTGGCTGAATTTATCTGTAAACGAAGTAAGGTTTTTACTTCACTGAATTTCATTTTACGAGGTAAGGTGTTAGTTCAGCGTATTTTACTTTATTCTTGTTTTTTTCTTAATGGAGGGTTGCTTGAAAATGATGCTTTTTGGAACCTCTTTTTTTGGTATTTGCTGTTTTTGTTCTGGTTATATTGGTTATTGATATATTACTGAACAATACATTTTATTGAAAGAACTAGTTCCAGTATACATATTTCGATGAAGTTAGCGGGCGGATCGCTTATAAGTCGCCTTAGAAACTGCAGTTTTAATTTTTGAAACACCCAAGGCTATTGCTGTCAGTATTGTCATGTACGAGTTGAGCGGGATTTTGCATATTTAGTTTTCTCAGTAATGTGTTGTGTAAACTTTTAATTCAGGCTAAACGTTGGGATTGAGTGATCATGGGAAAGCCGAAGGGAATTAGAACGGCTCGCAAACTGAAAAGGCATCGTCAGGCTCAGCGATGGAACGACAAATTTTATAAAAAAGCACATCTGGGAACTAGGTGGAAGGCAAATCCATTTGGAGCTGCTTCACACGCTAAGGGAATTGTGCTCGAAAAAGTGTTAGTTCTTTACATTTCGGAAAAAATGCGCAGTTGTAGTTTTCTGCTGAATTTTAGTTCAGATGAGGTCTCTGAAAGGTTCTAGTACTTTTCTAGTTATGAGACCTGATGTGCCTCATATCCATCGGTGACGGACAACCGCTGTAATCCTACGGAGTCACTGGCAGATATGTCAGTGGCCTCGGTCCTTAGTATCCCACAAAACACCAGAAAAGTATCAGAGAAGCAAAAGGGAAAGAATTGTTTTCCTTGATTTTCTGATTAGGTTGCGAAGTAAGCCCAAGTTAGTAGCCTGAAATCTGATCAGAAAGTTTGATTTTTCTCATTTTTTTAGGGGATTGTTTTATTAAGGACCAGTTTAAGAATGGGTTTAAGAGAATCCTTGTTTGTAGAGTGAATTGACTTGCATAGCAGACATACGACGTTTTTTGCTTGTAGGATTCCAACAATTGGCTGGTATGTTAATTTACGAAATTGGTGATATTACGAATTTTTTTGAACATAACTTTTCCTGCAAAAACGTAGTTTCCGGGATAGAAGAGTGCAAATGTGCGCTGCAGAGTAAGAACTTTGCGTGTTTATTAGCAGAGATGTCTAGTTGTGCACAGCGTTCGGGACACTTAGAG